TGGTGAGCACGCACATCGCCAGCAGGAAAGTAGCGTGGACTCCAACAGCCAATTTAATTACTGCAGTGGCTGTAGGCCAGCCTGACTTCAGTTGGCCTAAATCTGTAGTGCAGACATGCCCTCAGTAACCATGACTGTAAACACGCTGCAGTGTGCACCGGGCAGAGACGCTGGAGCCCGGTCTCAGCAACGCGGCAGAGAAGGAACTGAGGACCGTTCACCTGCACAGCCCTATACACCCTTGGAGGGCGCCGCAAGGTTGTGTAGAGCACGTGCGTGGCTGGAGAGACACTGCTAATGGAAAATCTCCAATCAAGGGCTCAAGCGGCGCGTATGCATGTGCAGTGGAGCATACACAGGGACACTACTAAAAGAAGAACATAATTTCCCCCTGGCCAATAGAGGGGACCAGTTTATAGTGAAGCAAGGAAGTGTGTGACTGGTTTTAGCACCTAAGTTTATTGGTTCTTATTTAGAGCTGCATGGGGCTGTGTGAACTCTCCCTGCAGCACAGCTAAAGGAGAGGCATGTTGCAGTTCTTCCTTGACTCTTACATACCAGAGTTTAAGCATGTTTGGGCCCAACCCTGCAAACACGTCTCTTCCGGGCATTCTCCTTGGAGTCAGGGCTAGCAAGTGCTGGGCCCATGGGAGTGTTTGCAGGACAGAGCCCTCAATTCTCTCTTGCAGATGAATCCTCGTTGTTGCAGTGACTTTTAGTTACAGCAATTCTTCTTTCTGTCCCTTGGAAAATGGTTGAGTTTAGAGAATGGGCCTGGCATGCAGCCCTGTTCCCACCCATCCCCAACAGACAGACTCCCCTTATCGGAGTGCAGATGAAAGCTGGCTCCCGCCTACACCCCTGTATTCTGTTCACATAGCATCAGAGGTGGGAGTGGTCAGGGCCAAGCCTGTAACTGACCCACACCTTCTCTGCAGGGCCAGAAGCCTGACACTGCAGTGCACAGTGTTGGGGTACAGGGCAGTGGCGGTGGCTGGCTGGGAAGCTGTTGCAGACACGGGGAGTGGGACAGTGGGGAAGGAGCTGCAATGGGGCATGATTGAAGGAGGCAGAGGAGTGGGTGGACCTGCGCTTTGGATGAGGCGGCAGAGCCCAGCAGTAGGCAGAGGCTGGCAGCAATGGGGCATCCAGGCAGGTAGGGAAATGACGTGGGTGCCCAAGTGGTGAGGGGGGTGGGGTGAGATGGGATGGAGGGACAGGATGGGACTGGGGGAGGCCAGGGAAGGGGAAATTGCAGGTGTTAAGGCAGGAGATGACATGGGACAAAGCTGAGATGGTGGCAATGGGCTGCATGTACAAGGAGAAGGAAGCCTCACAGACAGACAAAGGCTTCAAGCCTGTTCAATGGGAAGGTTGGAGAGTGTTAAGCTGTTTGGAGCAAGCAATGGGCCCAAGAGATTTATACCAGAGTTAACATGACTCCAGGATGTCACTCCCTATGTGCAGTGCAAGCCAATGATGCCTAGTGCAGTGCAGCCCTACAGTGCCCTGTGCAGTGTAGTGTGGGCCTATGGCATCTAGTATAGTGCCGTGTAGCCCCTATAGTGCCCTGTGCTGCAGTGCAGCCTTAGAGCACCATGTGCAGTGCAGTGTGGGCCTATGGCATCCAGTATAGTGCAGTGCAGGCCTACAGTGTCTTGTGCAGCAGGGCAACCCTGGAACACCATGTGCAGTGCACTGAAGGCTTATGGCATCCAGTGTAGTGCAGTGCAGGCCTACAGAGCTCTATGCAGAGCAGTTAGGTGTTAATAATAAGCCAGAGGAGGGGAAACATCAGGGGAGATATTCACCTCAGCTTTAGAGATGTGGAGCTTGAGTGACACCAAGGAGAACATTGCAGCGTTAGGCAGAGCCTGTCCAGGTCTTTGGTACTGGCCTTATGACAGGGACACTCCCTGACCCAGCCCTTGTGCAGGGGCAGAGATGTTCTCACCGTAGCCACGTGGATTTTCAGCACCCACTTGCCTTCAGTGACTCTCTCACTCTTCTGGGAAACTAAGGCCTAAAACAGTGCGGCTGGCAGTCTCGTTGCTTATGTGCCCTGGGAGGCATGTCCTGGGCAGAGCTCCCCTGCATTGCCCTCCTCCAGGGAGCACCAAGAGCATTGTGTAACATAATCCCGTCCCTTGTTAGTGCCGTGTGCTGTCCTTTGACATCACCTTTGTGCCCACAGGCCTTTATGCCAGCATGCAGCCTGATCTCCCTGGGGCAGGATCAGGAGCGCCAGAAGCTCGCTAGAAGTGGAGGGGCCACTGGTGCCTGAACTGCGGCCCCACCCCCGCTCCCGCCTCTTCCCCCGGGGCCCCACCCTCACTCCACCTCTTTCCCCCCCAAGGCCCTGCCTGCCACTTGTTCTTCTCCACTGCCCTTAATACAGGAAACAAGTGGCTATGTCCTCCCACTTTTAAAAGTGATGGGGGCCATGGCCTCTGGCTCCCCCTGTTCTGGTGCCCCTGGGCTGGATTAGTGCCTGTAGGGACAGGGGCTGCTATCCAGCCTGCCCTGGGGGCTTTCTGCTGTACAAGAACAAGGGGAGGCAGTGTCCAGCCTGCAGCAAGAGTTCACTGCTCTCATGACCCTCCCCATTAAACGCCCTTTTTGTGGGGGCCAGGGGAAGAGCAGCAGCAGGGACCAGTTCCTCTCTGGATGTCGTGATGGTTCCTCTGAGATAGGGGCTACCTCTGAGGGCTCCACTCCACACAGCACTTGTCTGGCACTGGCAGCCTTCCCCACCTGCCATGGAGGGCAGGGCCACTGCAGCTGCAGTCCAAGCACAGGCTGGCAGCAGGCCCCATGCTTAACGCCACATGCCTGTAGCACACAGGGGAGTCCCAAGGAGGATGCAGGCCCGGAGCCCAGCCAGCCCTGCTCCAGCGCCCTCGTGGTGCACAGGGGAGTCGCATGGAGGCCGCAGACCAGAGCCTTTCCTGCACTGTTCCAGCCTCAGTCTCCCCAGACTTGGTGCAGCTCTAGAAGTACCTTTAACCTGGGATCACCTGCAGTGAGAGAACTGGCTGGCAGCAGATTGTAGAGCAGCCAAGCAGATCCATGTGCAGCACCCAGGACAGCAGGCAGGCGGCTATCGGAGCCAAGGGAAGTGTGCGCTGCATTCACCTCCTTTTTCCCCAATGCAAAACATAGAAAGAGTCATTCTCATGAGGCACCTGGGGGTCTGCTGCAGGCACAGGGCATGCCATGGCTGTCACCTCAGTACCTGCCCGAGTCCATGTGGATGTTTTTAATCTCCAGTTCTAGCTGTTTGATTTGAACGTCCCTCTGGTTAACCAGCTCTCGCAGTCTCCGGATTTCTTCCTGCTGTCGGTAAAACATCTGCAACAGCTGTAAAACAAACAGCATTCTGTTTATTTCTGTTGTGCCCCAGCTGGGTCTAGGCATAATGCACATGAATGTCTGTGCTCCACTGAAGCTCTACAGCATCACAGCATAAACCAGGGTGCCCAGACCCTCCCAAAGCAGCTAGGCACTGCAGCCACTACCTGACAGCTTAGACTAGCACCTTGCCCATGCCAGGCACCAGTGTGGGGCATTGTGGGACGGCTTCTGAAAGGCAGCCACACACGATGTAAGCAACACAGTGTCTACACTGATGCTGCATTGACCTAACTACATCGACCTAAGCACGACACCTCTCGCGGAGGTGGAGTATTAAATCAGTATGGTGGGTGAGTACACTAAAATGTATCTCCCACGATGTAAGACACTGAGGGCATGTCTTATGTTAGGTCCACCTACAGCCACTGCAGTAACTCAATTGACTACCGGTGTCCACACTACCCTCCTTCCTCCGGCAGTGTATGCCCTCACCAGAAGAGCATGCACTGACTGACGTGGGGCACTGACAGCCGGAGCGTGGGACACTGACAGTTGTGCAGAGCTCACCTGCCACAGCCCTCTCGCCCCGGGGGGCTGACAGCCAGAGACCAAACCTGAAATCATAGGAGCCATGAAACTGACAAGAATGTCAATTTCACTTCTGGTAGGCTCCCTGCTGTGAAACTGAGCCCAGGTGGGCTGACAGCTTCTGCTGTTGGCCCAGCAGAGGAGGGCAGGTTCCAGCGGTGAGCCCTGCGCAGGGCTGATAGCCAACAGGCAATGGAAATAACATAGTGTCTACATTGATACTGCCAACTACATCAATCTAAGTGCTATGCCTTTCACAGAGGTGAAGTTATTAAGTCAGTGTAGTGGGTGACTTACATCGGTGGGAGCGACATTTTAGTGTGGACGCTTAGAGAGTTAGGTCAACATAAGGCAGCTTACATCGACCTACCTCTGCAGTGTAGACCAGGGTTCAGCCTCTCTGGGGCTCAGTTCCCATCTGTCCAATGGCGATGGTAACCATTCCTTTGTGTGTTTACATTGTGAACTCCCAGGGGGCAGGGACATGGACAGGTCTTGGCCAGCACTAGTTGTGTG